TTTCTTCTGTTGGAGGATCTACCTTTTGGTGGCAACCACAAAGACAATAAGTAGATATTACATACTCTAATCTGGCTCGATACCAATTGTTGCGGAAGACGGCTATCGGATAGAGCAAAATCGCAACTGATAATTTAAGAAAATAAAAATGAATATAAAAGAGATACAAAATTTACGTGAAAAACCCCTAAATAATATAGGGTAAAAACCATGGGCAACGGTAGAAGAATTTCACTATGAGAAAATAGGAATTACAACTTCTCTCGATCTATCAAGGAGAAAACAATATAATTCTCTCTTGATAAAAATGAGAAAATAACTCTCAAGAAAACTCTCTAAATTCTCTGGTATTGGGAGAAAGCTAGAATGATTTGGGATGATTTTAAAGCTAAATGAGCTAGGGTATTTATAGTTTAAGCTTAAGGACTAATTTATAAATGCCCTAAATTACAATGACTAAAATTGATTATACCATTACAAAAAAATATTTTCAAGCTGTATAATTTTGGTGCATTAATGCACCGAAAGCCACCACCAAAATCTCAGCTTAATTTGTCAATTTAAGCTGCCACCATATTTGACTTTCAACACCAACCCTACCCTTGATATCTCTAGACATAATGAAATAAATTTAGATTGAAAATTTTAATTATTGTGGTTTTGTAAAATCAAAAGTTATAATATATTATTATATTTGACAGAATAATATTTTTAATCTCTTAATTTTATGAGTTAATTAGTTTAATGTTATTTAAATAGGATGTAATGGTAATACTATTTTGTTTTGGTTTCAAACATCTTGATATCCTAAATATGATTTCAATGTTTGTTTTGTCGAAAAATGCTTTAATATCTCTAGATTTGAGGTTAGACGTTTTGCTTTTTCTTCTATGATTTACCCGAATATGCATAAAATTTAGAAATATTATGGATGGAAAAAAATTGAAAATTGTAGGTGTTGACAAATTATTTTATGATACAGGTCATTTGCGTGCATGTAGAATTCGACATATCCACAAGATAAATTTCATAAAATATATTAAAAAATATAATTCATCACGTGAATTCAATAAAAGTTATAATTAAGGGGAACACTATCAACTATGATTCGAGTTTTTTAAAGTTAAGAGTTATATTATATGTGATCTCTCAATTTTTTTAGTTTAATACTTAAAATTCAAAATTATTTAAATTTAATAGAACAATTGCGTTATTTTATTCTTATTAAAATATTGATGTAAGTAATTTGTTTTTGTGTTAAAAGGAAAATATTTGTGTGTTTTGATGAAATGAAATTAATAGTAATTGTTGACGGGGGGCATGTGAGCAGGTTAAGAGCACTAGGGATGGAACGAAAGTAATTATCTCGAGGCCATTGTTAATTGAGGGTTATTCCGAGGTGGATTATATTTATAAGGCTCCCAATTAAGGCAGTCCAAAGAATTTTAAGCCTTTCAAGAGTATAGAACCAAGCTATGATCTCATCTCTTTGAAGGCAAGTTTACCTCATGCCATTTTTCTTGCAATTTTTTACTCTTATTTTCGCTCTTAATTATTTAATTAATTCATCTCTCATGCTCAGGTGATGCTAATCTATCTATTATATTCGAGAGATGGATCAAAAATGTTAAAATTAAAATTAAACAAGAAAAGAATTCACTAAATAATTTTAATAGTAAAAGAGATGTTAATATTTCTAGAGGTTTTAGATTCAAGCAACAACGTCTGTAGGATGTATATACGTTGTCAATAGATTAAGAAAATTCTGAAAAAATATTACTTTGTAATTACCTTAAAGTATTAAAAAAAATAAACAACTAACGCATTGTAAAAATGAACTGGACCTTGCATGAAAGGACATAGCTCCCTTAGGGCCCTGGTCCCTGTCAAAATTTATATATTCGTAAATTTTGGTCTATTGTTATTTTGGTTCATATAAAAATAAATATTCAAATTAAAAAATACAAGAATATATTAAATATTTAATCATAAAGGGACCGAACTAAAGACGGATAATCTCATGTTCTCAAATTTTTGGTCCAATAACAATTTAAGTCATTGTAAGTTTAAATATAAGACAAATAGACATTGTCTTCTTAATTTTAAGTTTAAATATCTAATAAGTCATTATGTTTATTAATGGACAATTTAATCCATAATTGTACTATATTTAAAATATAAAAAATTAAATGAAAAGGAGAATTGAATAAATGAACTGAACACTACTCTATTCGTGTTCGTTCGTTTATTAATGGACAAAAAAAATTTTGTTCACTTGCTTATTTAACTCGACAAGCGAATGTCATATAAACTGTTCATCAAACATTATGTACATTATGTACTTCCTTCAGTTTTGTTTTACACCAACGGTAATTAATTATGACAGTCCATTCTCTTGCAGATTTCTCACCACCCCCCAGTTTCTGCTCTCCATTGCAACTGGCGAGAAACAAAAAATTGAACTCATCTGGTGTCAACAATGTGTTCCTAAATTCAATGGTTCCTACCTCATTTGCTTTATATACGGAGTTCGTCAGTAATGTTTAATAATTGACTAGTCATACACGATCTTAAAACGCTAATACTTTAGGTGTGGCGGTGGTAAACAAGGTGCGAGGGAAGAGGCAACTCAAGCTCCTGAGTCGAGGAGAAACATATGAAATGAACTCTCCAGACCTCTTGATAAGATTTCTCCCGTTGCCTGGTGTCGATTGGGACAGAGATGATCGGATCAGGTGCCCGGAGAATGGCCTCGAAGCTGAGTTACGATTCGGACACAAGTCATTTCTTGGACTTAGAGGAAGTCATAGATCAGTCAAGGGAAAGATCTACCAGACATTAACTAAGAGGACTCTTTTTCAACTTGATGGCAATTGGGACAGGTATTTTAGCTTCTAAATACACTAGATACTTATACGTACAGGGTGTGTTCACATTTTTCAAAATGCAGGAAATAGAAGATGTAGTGACGTGAACAATTTATGTTTTGGTGCAGAACTGGTACAATGAAGGACAGTACCGGTGGAAAGCTGACTGTTATATACAATGCTGAAGAAGTTTATTCAGGGCTGAAAACTCCTACTGTTAATGATTTGCAGGTAATTGCTTAGTTATATACAAAGCAATAACATCTCTGAACATAAAAGCTCGGGAGCTTTGCACTCTTTGAGGTCGCAACCTCCTGTCATGAGCATCACGTGATCTACCATATTCAAAACCAATTGAAAATTGACCACATTAGTTAAACCTGTCAACGTATGAGTAATAATCATGTATATAGACCTGACACCAACATTAAGGTTTTTCCCTCCAAGTAAGAGACGAACTTGTCTTTGGAACATTACATTTCTTCAAACTATTGGATGCGAGTTCCGTCCAAATAAAAAAGGGTAAACAATTTATAGCTGTCACATTCCAAATGTTATCATCAACACATTTGAATCACTTAGACATTCAAAATTCACACAGTGATTGTTTATGTGCATCCACTTGAGCGAATTCAATCTCATCCGTCTCCTTAGGCCCTTTCAGGGAGTATCGTCAACCGAATTGGCCGCCGTGTGGAGTGAGTTAAGCGAGGCGATAATGAGCCACGATTGGGAGAAAGCAAAAGAAGCAAAAAATGCAGTGGAGGATAAACAGAGGGAGGTCTTGAGGGAAAGAGAGTCCAAGGGAGAAACTTGGGTTCCCCAGCATTTCACTGTGACTCACAGCAAAGATGGTGGATGGGACTGTTTTCCAACACAACAATGGGTTCAACCTGCTCCAATTGTTGTTCCTCTTTCGTTAGCTAATTTCAAATCAACAAACAACTAGCAGCTTATACGAAACCCCCTCTTTGGGGGCTCTTGCAGTATTAAAAGACAACCTACTTGTGAACATTCTAAACGCTTACATATCAAAACCTGATTAAAGTTAAAATGTATACTATAAATATCATCATCGGTTTAGTATTTTTAATCACATGACATCCAAAGAAAATTTATTGAGAGGAAAATAATAGAGATTGTTAGCATCGATAAATTCAAAATTTCTTAACGAGTATTAGAGTATTGGTTCTTTGAGAAGGAAGTATCTATTTATATTCTAATGAAAGTGATAGGAAAAAGATTACATTAATCCATGATGACTTGATACAATATTATGATAGGATGATGTTGTCACGCTCGACAAGTCACCATTAAATTAATTTATAAAACATTAAACTATAAAGTACGTAAAATTATAAATTAGTTAAAAATCTAAATATAATTTAATTAAAATATAATATTTATACAATATTATTTTTTATAATCTTATTTTAATTATAATTAGATCACATTAATATGGGAAATTTATAAAATGTCAAATCATAAATTAGTTAAAAATCTAAATATAATTTAATTAAAATACAATATTTATACAATATTAGTTTTTATAATCTTATTTTAATTATAATTAGATCACATTAATATGAGAAATTGACAAAATGTTAAATTATAAATTAGTTAAAATCTAAATATAATTTAATTAAAATACAATATTTATATAACATTAGGTTTTATAATCATATTTTAATTATAATTAGATCGCATATTAATTTGTGAAATTTATAAACCTTAATTTATTTTCATAACTTCCCGCCGTTACTACCGCCGACATCATCGTCACCGGTATCATCTTTCACCACTGGCGAACGAAAAAGACTAAATCAACGACGAAAGATGATATCGATGGTGGTGGTGGTGGCAACGACAGCTACGAAGCTATGAAAATAAATTAAGGTTTATAAATTTCCCAAATTAATATTTGATCTAATTATAATTAAAATAAGATTATAAAAACAAATATTTTATAAATATTGTATTTTAATTAAATTACATTTAAATTTTTAACTAATTTAAGATTATAAGTTTAGTACTTATTAATTTAACATTTTATAAATTAATTTAATGATGTTCATCGTTAACTGTGCTCATCCATGCTTAACGAGCGTCATAGAATTTTTCATTATGATAGTCTGATAAAATATCTTTGACATTAAAGCCTATGAATATAAGATAAGTAAATAAATACAATGTTTACAACCAAGAATCTAGCACTAGGATTCCAACTGCAATCCATACACGATGATAAAACTCTTTAGCTTTTCCTATCCTCATAAATCAAGTATCAAAACCAGAATAGATACCACTGTCCCGGAGCAACCTCTTCTCTTCTTCAACATAATTCTTCCCCCTACTAACCTGGCCAAGTTCTCTTTTCCGCTTCTCCTTCTGTGAAAAAGAAACATTCTGCTTCTCTTTCCGAGATTGTACGTTAGCCAGCTCCTCTGCATCCAATATTGCTGCTCTCGTTTTCTGTCTGTCCTCGAAAGATTCTTTAGCCTCCCTGATTTCACTGTTTTCTCTGCCGGTTGACCAGGACCAGTCCGGTTTCTCTTTTGGAGGAGGCACATTCAGAACAGATAATCCTCCCTTGTAACCATGTCGCTTCAATGCTTCAAAATCCAACGCATTACCTTTTTGTTTCCCAGACTTCGCTGTACATATGCAGATAAATATGGTAAACCAGGTATTCATTTTCTTTTAGCCAGAAATTCAAAGAAATACATTTTAACAGCAAAGGAAATAAATTCTTGCAATCTCTAAAGCATATTTATGTTGATGTAACTCAAACCTCAGTACAACGTTCATGCCCATATTTAGAAAAAAGAAAATGTATGTATTGGAACATTCAGTGGGATATTTTATTTTCATGAAGCGCAAGAGAGAAAGACAAGTAAGCGTGCAGAGCCTTCAGATTTCGTTATCATACTTATACCGATGATAAATAAGGTCAGACATTGTTTCATCCCTCTATTGCACAAACTATCAACACAAACGGCAGAATCACACCCTAGCAAGCATAATTATGATTATGCTATTAACAATAACCATAGTTCAATACTGGCAAGGTACATGGATTCAGTCATAAATACGTATACACATGCACACATTTATATATTCATCTTCCTTTAGCCAGAAATTCAAAGAAATACATTTTAACAGCAAATGAGAGAAAAATTCTTGCAATCTCTAAGCATATTTCAGTTGATGTAACTCAAACCTCGGTTCAAAGTTCATGCCTATATTTAGAAAAAAAGAAAATGTTATAACGCTTGGGTGTGGATATGTATGGGAACATTCAGTGGGATATTTTATTTTTATGAAGCACGAGAGAGAATGACAAGTAAACTTGCAGAGCCTTCAGATTCCGTTATCATACTTATACCGATGGTAAATAAGGTCAGAAAATTGCTTCATCTCTTTGTTGCACAAACAATTAACACATACAGCAGAACCACACCCCTAGCAAGCAAAATTATGATTCTGCTATTAAAAATAACCATAGTTTCAATACTGGCAAGGAACATGGATTCAGTCCTACACAGGTGTGGCCTGAAAATTTCATATACCCATATAGTTTAGATATTTCTATTATAGTTTAGATATTTCTTTATATTATCTATTTGATGATCTAATTTCATATACGCATATATTCATAAACAAAAACACTCTTCTTCATATCCAAATTTACATACAAAAAAAATTCAAAATCAAGGAAGATGCACATTCCATTCAATTCAGTCAAATGATAGTAAGATGCAAAAAAGAAGAAGGAGGAATAGCATAAAATATGTAGGCAGAAAAAATGGAACACCTTGGGATAATTTCTTAAGCTTGGAGTTGGGAGGTCCATCTTCCGCTTCAGAGTTCGAAGATGAAGATTCATCAGAAGATGATGAATTGTTTGTCTCATTATCATCCCACGGCACTGCCCTCTTCATCACATCAAATTTTACAATAAAAATACCAAAATAGAAATTTGTTAAAGGAAAGAAAGAAGATGGAGAAGTAGCAGAGCCTGAATTTTTATGATTGGGACTCGATGGTTTAGGGTTTTGAAAGGAATAGAAATTACAGAAATGGTTTTCCGCAAGAGGGGAGGAGGCTTACCGCTTACGGCAGTAAAACGGCGTCGGTTAGATTGCATACATGATACATTCCTTTCCAAATCCGAGACAGCAACAGCATTACTAACGAGGGTAAACTATATAAATAGTCACTAAAATAGAATTAATTTTCTACATTTAGTACTTAAGTTTAAAAAGTAATAAAATAATCACTAATATAATTATTTTATAACAAATTCGACCACTTACCGTTAACCATCGTCACTTAATAATAAAAAACTGATATGGCACCTTTTTAATTGAGGGACCCTATTTTTTTTTAATTTTATCAAATGATCTCACTTTCTTCCTTTATAAATGAGGGCTACTGATTTTTTGCAATTCTATAATATTCTCAATTTCTCATCCTTTTTTCTATCTCTCTCATTAATTCATTTAATTTTAAATTAAATCTAACCATATTTTTCTCACTTTTACAAATAATTTTCTAAAGTTTCAAGTTTGACTTGTTTCATGTTTTTCCTTTTATTTGTTTACAAATAAGATAATAACATATGTCATCATTTATTGGAGATATTAATTTAATAAAAAATTGAAAGACTTTTTTTTGTTAAGGATAGGGTTTTTAATGAAAGACTTTTAATTTTGGTTATCAAAGTGAAAATACCTAAAAGTTAGGTGACTACCAGTGTAATTTACCCTAAATTAAAAAAATTAAAGGAAGGAGGGTCTGCTACGTCAATAATCGTTACTGAAATGAAAGCTTTTTTTTAAGGATAGTGTTTTTAATAAAGGTTTTTTTTATTTTGGTGATCAAAGTGAAAAGACTCAAAAGTTAGGTGACTACCAGTGTAATTTACGCTAAAACGAAAAGACTAACCGCTAGGAAGAGGGCTTGAACCTCCGACCTTGTGGTTAACAGCCACTCTAACCAACTAGCTATTCAAGCAACTTGTATATATTTCTCAATTATAATATATTTATTTATAGTTTAATAGGACCCATACACTAATTAATTGTACACTGGAAAAAGATAATTTCACTCTAATTCAGCGAGGGTGGTTAGCTAATGAATAAAATAAATAAATATTTTTATAATCGATGCGTCCATTTTTCTTGCAAAAAATTTAAGGTTTTCTTATTTTTTTTATTTCATTCTGCCCTTATTTGTAATGTAAGAATTTCATTCTTTTTCCCTCTCACAATTATTGTTAGTCGTTCTATGAGCAACAAGATGCTCTACTTGAGACTCAGATTTAACTACAAGGTACTTCATCTTATACGAGTATATGGAAATATGGAACCATATACTTCACTAATGGTAAAATAATTCACAATTGTACAAAATTATATCTTTGAATGGTAAATATAAAGGAGGCAAAGAATATAGTAAAATCGACCCTAAGTCTTATTAGTTGTACTTCACCATCATGGTCGCTAAATCTAAGATAATTTCCTTAAAGACAAATTAGGCAATCCTCAAGAGAGAAACTTTCTGTTAAGTTATGTGAATAAATACGCTGTTTCATCTGCAACTTCATGATTAGCAAAATTTTTTAATGTAAAGTGGTTCCAATTTCAACCAAAAAAAGCAGTCTTTTTTTTTCTCAACACATTCCGCAAACACCATTCTTCGATCTACAATCTTTACAGCTCGAAAAGTAAGAGTCTCGAGCTTCGTTTCATTCAATCTGAAAACTCATTTCGAAGAATAAATGTTCGAGGTAACCCATTACATCAAGCTTGACAGCCTAGCTCGTGAAGAGGACAGATTGACCTGCAGCCATGGAGGAGCTTGACTGGGTTTTTATAACCCCACATTTCCAGGAAAGGGTACAGTTGAGAAGACTAAAAAACGAACAAAATGGAGAAGCGATAGTCTAGAGCAATAAGCGTCAGAGATTCGAAATGGTGATCCAGAGATATTGATAGGAAGGAAATGGAAAGAAGAGCATGTGGAAGTGGAAAAGAGTGTAGTCAATGGGGGTAAAGGTAATAAAGTGAGGGAAGATGAGTTTGGATCGAGGCTGAGTAAAGAAAAAGAGCGGTTGTTAATGGAGATGGTGGAGCAAGGAGTGGAGCAATTGATTTGGACAGAATGACTGCCACACCTAGAAGAGGAAGAGAAAGGGAATGAAGGCGTCGAACTGAAGGTGGACATAGGGATCTTAGAGACTTAGACAAGATTTATGGACTTGAAGAACAAAAACAATGAGTGAGGGTAACTTATGTGAGCAACAACCCTGGAAAAGTGATGAAGAATAAAAGGGTTTAGTGGGTGTTAATCAATTAAATATTCATTAAATGATATTATTTTCAATTTATTATAATATTAGTTGAAAAGTTGGTCAATAAAGATTTCAACGTGGCGGTTAATGGTCCATGTATGCATTTAACGACCCAACTTAGCTTTCCGTAACTGATCGTTAACATCGAGTGACCATTTTATTATAAATTGATAATATTAGTAATCAATTTGTAACTTTTAAAAGGTTAGTGAGGTAAACGGAAAATTACTTAAATTTTAATTACCATTATTTTAGTTTACCCTAATAGTTAATAATGAGCGCATTAGCCAAGTCAAGTTTAGTTGTTGTGGATAAAATTAGTGAGGGGCACACGATAGTGGTTTTCTCTGGGTGCACGTTAGCAGGCCTAACGATTTATGTTATCTCGTCTTGTCTCCGGTGGTCTTCTTTCCTTTTGCCTTCTGTTCCCAAGATTCCGGTGGTTATCTTTACTTTGGCTTCTTTTTATCAAGGTTCTCGTTTCTCTTTTCCACCATACTAAAAAATCCCTCATTCCATCGATGGATTGGAGAAAGTTATTCGAGAGTTATACTAGTCTAACCCTAAATTTCTACCTACCAAAAGTTAAAGACGGAATCCCAACGATTAGCCCTCCCGCCGAGATATTAGAAGCTGGAATATCAGAATGGAGGTTATCTCTAGTGGGGCAATTCCTTGGCCCGACGCCAAACTTCACAACAATGCAACAAATTGTTGACAACCTATGGACAAAGCCATTGCAAGGCTCTCGAGTACATGTCAGTTTAGCATGAACTAATCTATACATTTTTACTTTTGCTTCTGAATCTGCTAGAGAGTGGGTACTTGAAAATGGCCCCTAGCATATAATTAACAAACCATTCATTCTGAGAAATTGGGAACCTAGCTTAAAACGCCTACACTTTGATCTTTCTAAAATCCCGATTTGGGTTAACCTGTATAATGTTCCCCTAGAATTATTTACTCAGACATGCTTAAGTTACATAGCTAGTGGTATAGGGAATCCAATTTCAATGGATTCTGTTACAACTTCTAAGACCAGGCTTGAATTCGCAAAGATTTATGTGGAAATCGGTGTGAACGACGAATTTCCTAAAGTCATTGATGTTGTTCTCCAAGATGGTTTAACTACCTCAGTCTATGTCGAATTACCTTGGTTGCCTCCTAAATACAGGAAATGCAAGGTTTTTGGCCATAATGACAAAAAAACTACTTGGTGAAATCTATATCAAATCCAACTCCAAACCAAGTTTGGAAGAAAAAAGATATCCCAAACTCTAATTCTTCTCATGGAGGCATAGAGATTCAACATGTAACATCCTCAATACCGGGTTAGTGACTAAATTGTAAAGTTACAGAATTTGGTGATTAAAGTAGAATAATTGATTAGTTCAAGGACTTATATGAAAATGTTGTGTAGGATCAAATTTCAAAGAATGAAGAATGGAATGACAATATGGTCATTTTGTTAGTAAATAATTAAATTGAAGAAGGATTATATATATATGCTACACGTGGAAGTGGAGGAAGAAAAACACAAGGTTTCCAGAGTTCTCTTATCCTCTCTTCTCCTTTGTACGTGAAGGTTCAAAGCAAAGGTGAGATTTCTCATAAGCTGATTATGTGTTGAAATTTAAGTTTGGTTTTGATCATTAAATGCTAATTAAGCTTAAGGAAAGCTTAATTTGTTTTAAAACAATAAGATGAAGGGTGTAGGAAGAATTAAAGGTTAGAAGTTCTTGAATGAAATTTTGAAATAAACTTCATAATGAGAATTAGAAGTTGAATTTGACTTGTCATGTAACTTTCCAAAATTCGGGTTAGTGACTAAAATGAGAATTTTTGGAATTTGAGGATCAATTTAAGGAAATTGATAAGTTCAAGAATTTAAATAGGGACTATTTCAGTATTGTATTAAATCATAATTATGGAATAAGTAAAGGGCATTATGATACTTAGTTTAAAAAGATATTTTCTTTCCCTTATTAAGAATGAAACACGTGGGATGTGAAGAGTGATCTAGAACTCTTCTTTTCCTTCTTCATTTCTTCTTCCCGTGGGTTCAAGCTCAAACCTCAAAGGTGAGTTTTAATTTTTATGATTAATTCTTGAATGTTTAAGTTAGGTTTTATTCCATGAGTGTTATATAAGCCTAAGGAAAGCTTATATAAGCTTAAAATACCAAAAGGAGTGAATTAGAAAGGAAATTTGATTAAGGGTTGAGAAATTAATTCTTGATATAAAGAGGTTTTTAAAGTTTTAAAGATGGATTTGACTTGTCAATGGGTTAATTAAGAAGTTAAAGGTGATATAATTGAATTTAGAACACATGGAAAATTTAATGAAATTCTTTGATTCAAGAATTATGGTGGATTATGGGAGATGGTAAAGTTTTATAGTGTTATAAGAAGGTTGATACATGTATAGATAAGTTTTAAGGCATAAGGAGGGGGTTAATAAGTAGAATTTGAGGTCAAAGTAAGAATTTCCAGGCTCAAAATATAATTTATGGGTTGTGTGCATCGATGCATCTTCAATGTGCATCGATGCACTCTCAAATAAATAAACATCGAGTACAGTTGGTGCATCAATGCATGAGGAGTGCATCGATGCATCCCCTTAAAATGGAAACGTCGAATGTAAATTGTGTATCGATGCATGGTAGTGCATCGATGTACATGTTAAAGAATGCATCGATGCACTGAAGAATGCACGATGCACTTCAATGGGAAATGAAATAAATCGTTATTCAGTCTATGAAATGATAGGTTAAAGTATATTAATTG